TGGCATGATCTCAGCTCACTGCAACCTCTGCCTCCGGGGTTCAAGTGATTCTCCTGCCTCAGCTACTCCTGAGTGGCTGGGATTACAGGTGTGCGCCACCACGCCCGGCTAATTTTTCGTATTTTTAGTAGAGACGGGATTTCTCCAGGTTGGTCAGATTGGTCTCGAACTCCCAACCTCAGGTGATCTGGCCTCCCAGAGTGCTAGAATTACAGGCGTGAACCCCTGCGCCCGGCCCCTGTTTTTCCCATCTCCTCTAAACCTTCTGGCTTCTAAATCACTCAGGCTCCCTTGTCTCCCCGGGACTCCATCGGCACCTCTTCAAACCTCTCCTGTTTTCCTCTCTCCTTCTGCTCCCGCCCAGCCCATGTTGCATTCCTTTCCTCTTAGCTTTTAGGACCCAGCCCTTCTGCTCGACTCCTTTCTGGAGAAAAGAAGGACGAGAGGAGGCTGAGGGCAGAGCTGAGATGCCTGCAGGCTGCATGCGGAGACCCTCGGGTTGCCATCTCCTGCACAGCAGCGCAGAATCAGAAGGGCCACCTACTGCAATGGGGGCAGCGAGGGGCCACCTCACACTCCTCCTGTATAATATTTTGTCATTGGTGGGATGGTCCCAGGCTCTGGGATTGAAGTCTTTACCGGGCTGTGACCACACCCCTTGTCGATGGCCTGGGGTTTTCAGCCCAAAGCTGAGCCAAGCCCTTGGAAAAATCCGCAGCCACACCTGTTGCTCTCGAGAAGTCTTTTTTTTCTTTGTAGGTGTGGCCCTTCCATCTTGAGGTCACAGGGGAACTGAGGCTGGAGGGAGAGGGACCAGGATGCCGCAGGAATCACCCAGCCAGCCCACTCATAGCCTGGCCGCTTTTCAGGAGTGATTTCTTCAGCTTCTTTCCCTCCATAGACACAAGAAGCCACCCACACTCACCTGACCAGCCGGAACCCAGGGGAGCCGGCCTTAATCCTGGCTTCCCTGCGGCTCAAAAGAATCTGGATCACAACAGGTAGGGTTAGATTACTCGCTCCAGCGTCTCACTTCACAGATGTAGAAACTGGGGCTCAGGGAGGGGCCTAGGGCCACAAGGCCAGTCCGGGACACGGTGGAACAGGCAGCCTGGACACCTGGCCTACCAGCCACCCCCGTGACCTCCCCAGCCACTGCTGCTTCCCTGGGTGCCGTTTCTCCTACGCCATAAATCCCTTTCAGTATGTGCTGCGTAGCCCTACAGTATGGTCAAGGGAGTAACTCTGGGGACAGGGATGGAGTCCGCGGGGCCACTTAGAATTCTGCCTTCCATAGTGCCTGAGGCTCCTGACTCCCCCACCTGGTTGGATCCCCAGGCAGCTCCTGGGAGGAAGTGCCCTCTCCCACCATTGCCTGCCCCTCCTCTCAATGAGACCTGACAGCCATACCCAGTATGTCAGTTATAACAATGTAACCCCGTGGGGCGCACGCCCCCAGACCCCCACCCTTCTGAAGGCTGGGTCCCTCCTGGTGGAGCTGGCCCAGACCCACAAGCCTCTCAGCCCATGGTTCCAGGTTCCAACCGTGTTCCAGGTTCCAACCAAGGACCTGTGATTCTTGCAGGATGCCAGAGAAGAGGTGGCCACGAGACCCCAGCAGCGTTGTTCTCATTACGGGGTCTCCTCAGCCGAGATCCCTCACTCTCTTCTGGCATTCTTCTGGTTTCCTCACTGACGTCATCAAAATTTGTATTCACTCATGTAATAAATATTTATTGAGAATGTGCGCAAAGTACTGGGGTAATTAAGAGTGGAAGACAAGGGGGCAAAAATGAGTCAGCCGTGAACCTTGCCTGCAGAAGGCTGAGCATAGCGGGGCTCAGAGCCAGCAGACTCCCGTCCAGGTTCTGAAACTTACTAGTTCTGTGACCTTAACTACGTCAGCTCACTTTTCTGATTCTCAGTTTACTTGTCTGAAAAACTAGGATGATACTCACAGATTGTTGGTGA